GAATATAATTTGTTCCTGCTGAACCAGACCAAGGTGGCTCCTCAACCATCTCAAATTATATAGTTTCAAATCCCTCCCATCTAGCAAAACTTGGCCAGCAACTGGATCATAGAATCTCTCAATCAAAGATATTATTGTGCTCTTCCCTGACCCCGACACCCCCACTACAGCAATTGTATGTCCTCCATTTACTTTAAGACTAAAATTGCTTAATACCAACACTTCTGGTCGAGAAGGATAACAAAAATCAACATTTTTCAACTCGATGCTTCCATATACATTGGGTGGCTTCAGAGCTGAGCTATCATCAGGATCAATTTTAGGCACACGATCTATAATTTCAAACACTGACATGAGAGATTTACGTCGCTTAAGTATGTAAGGAGCCAATCCAAAAGGCTCCACAAGGGCAAATGTAGCAAATGAGAAAACCATGTACTCCTTCAGAGCAGTAGGTGGATCAACATAGCTCTTTTTTACACATATTGCAGTGTACCAAAGTAGAAGGGCATTACAAGCAAAAAGCAGAAACTGTGAAAAGCCAAATGCAAAACCAATGGCCACTCCATGAAGAAAGCTTTGCTTAAATATTTTATTTAACTGCAACTGATACAGTTCCATCACCTTGTTACCAGCACAGAATGCAACAACAGTGTAAATATTTCTAACTGCATCTTCAAGAACCAAAGATGCCTTTCTGTGCATTTCCTGTATGCCCTTTGAAAATCCAGCAAGCCACAATTTCTGCAAGATCAAGGAGACAGCCTTAACACATGCATTATGCAATTCTTAAAAGCAAATTAATAAAAAAAAATTGTCATTCTTAGTCAGCATTATTGGTCATTCACATAGCAAAATCAGGCCCATTAATTTTAGTAATTAAAATTAATCATAAATTGACATAAAGAAGAATTTGCATAAATGAAAATGAAACCCCCCATAAAAAGAGATATAATAGCATTAAATCATGGTATCCTTGATCCTGCAAGGTGATAAAATGCAACAGAAGTTTGATTTCCAAAGGAGAAATAATAAATCTCTTGAAGAATAGAATTAGCAAAGACACTTCCAAATTACACTAATTACAGACAATTGATAACTTAAACATGAAAAGATACAATACAAATTATAACTGTAATTACCACGGGCAATTTCAATATCAAATTTGTTAAAACAATCAAAACTGAATGTGCATTTAGTATTCGTCATTCAAGATGCATGCGTCATTGTTCTTAATTTCACAGTGAAATAGACACAAATGAATTATATGAAAGAGTGGTAGAGAAATGCACTGATACACATGAGTGAAACTGCCTTTTTTCCTTTTTCAGCCTTTCCTTTTAGACATTTCAATCAAGGCTTTTGGATTTGGTATTCTCTTCAACATCATTCATGAGGCATAGAAGACGCAAATTATACTAATTGGTCATACTCACCAGTAAGTATTCACCTAACTTAGCTTCTAATGAATGCAATAAATGAAAAAAGAAAAAGGACACCAACATATGTTTAGAAAATAGCACAATTTAGGATAAGCATCCACATTCCATTTTTCATTTGACTTGAAAAACGATCCCCACCTGCTGGGAAAAGGCTTGGTTTATTATTTTATTTTTTTGAATTTCAAAAGCACTGAATTTGGAAGAGGTATAATTTTTTACAGATTATGTTGAAATGAAATAGAAATACAAGCTCAACCCAACCACCTGAAAAAATTACATTGCAAAATCAGAAGAGCAGGTGCAAACCTGGGCAACAGCAGAAACACAGAGAACTGGAAGTGTTGCTAAAGCCACGAGTGCTAATCGCCAGTGCAGCAAAACACCTATGAGAAAAGCAACAATAATTGCAGCACTGTCCTGTATAAATATGGAAAGTCGGTTACTGAAAGCCGCTCGCACAAATGTAGCATCATTGGCCAAGCGCATGGATAAATTGTCAGCACTATTTTCCTCTTCATCAAACCATCCAGTTTCATTGCGTAGCATGGCTGCGATGTTATGTAAACAGGTTAAGTACAGTTCAGATGTCCAATTTTTTTTAATCTTTTTTTTTTCAAAATAATACTTCAAATCTACGCACCTGAGAACATCATTCTCCTAACTCTTTCTGTCATTTTCTCCCCCATAATACCAAAGTAGAAATGCTGTAAAAAGTTGGCAACAACTGTCACAATACCCATGCAGGCAATGATCAAGCACCATTTGTCTATCTCCCTTCGTAAGTGATGAGCATCATCAATTTTATAGTAATCTGTAACCACAAGGCCAATAACATAAGCAAGAAGGGGATTGAAAGAACCAAAGATAGCAGCACCTGTGCTTCCTAACACAGCATAAAGCCACTCTGCAAAACTAAGCTCTGCTAGCCTCCAAATTGAGGGTTGTTTCCGATGCCTTGCATCCTTTGTTTCACTCATTTTCACTGAAAGATCGTCAGAATGACTATCAGGCCTGCTAAAAGTCTGTGAATGGGAGCGTTCATTTTTAGGATCAGACGTTAAAAGAGGTGAAACAGGGGATTCCGGGTCAGAACCATTTGATGCTTGTCGATGCACACACTGAACATCAATCTTAGGTAACTCTGGTAGTCTCATTTCAAAACTATCTTGCCTTTTTATTGATGGCTCCTTATCAGCTGAATCTAAAGACTGGCCATTTTCTATCATCTTCTCAGATGGTGGGCTCCGAACTTTTGGTGATTCTTGTGAGTTAAAGAAGCCATCTGGCCGAAATACAGCAGAAACTCTTTGCAGAGAGGGTGACTTTCTCATTTTAGGAGATGAAGGTTCTTTGAAGCTATGACTTTCTGAAGAATCTTTCTCAATTTGGAAAGTTGCAGTCTCCTTGTAGTTTCGAACAGGCATCCTGGATGATGAACAAAGTTATTTTCTACGTGCAAATGGTGAAATCATGCAAATTATAAAAAACAGTAAACATTGCCACTACAACCTT